TTTTCGCTTTTTTCAGGTACCAGTTCTTCCTGCAGGTGAAACAGGACATCCTGCAGGGCCGGCTGCCTATATCCCAGGACCTGTCCGCAGAGCTTGGCTCCTACGCTGTTCAGTGTAAGTACAGTATATGACTGAAGCGCTAGATCAAATCCCCGTCTTCCTTATGGGGCCATTTGAAGATTCCTCCCCAGACCCCCACCCTAAGGAAAACAGTGAAATTTAATTATGGGTACTCTTACATAAGTTAGGTAAATTAAGTTACCCCTATTTATAATACGTAAAATGTACCAAAATTATGTTTGATTCCAAGGTTAGCTTTGATGAAATATTAAGAAGTACAATATAAAAAAATGCATAAATGTATTGACTGCTGTCATTGTGGGAGTCTACCTGAAGGGTATTCCGGGGATCAACGCCCCCGTGGCCCGGTCCATGACCAGGCCTCCCGGTGGATCAGGGCCTAATCAACGAGGCTGTTACTGCTGGCCGCACGAAATCCAACGTACGAATCACAGCCCGGCTGATCCGGCACCGTCTTTAGGTATCTGTCCAGCTCCCTCTTGAAGACAACCTTATTGCTGGTGGGAGGCTGTTGAACAGTCTTGGGCCCCGGACACTTATTGCGTTTTCTCTTAGTGTACCAGTGACGCCCCTACTTTTCACTGGGGGTAGGTTGCATCACCTGCCAAGTCTTTTGCTTTCGTATGGAGTAATTTCTGTGTGCATATTAGGGACCAGTCCCTCCAGAATCTTCCAGGTGTAGATTATGATACATCTCTCTCGCCTGTGCTCCAGTGAGTACAAGTCAAGTGCTTCCAGACGTTCCCAGTAGTTAAGGTGTTTGATGGAACTTATACGTGCAGTAGAGGTTCTCTGTACATTCTGTAGATCTGCAATATCATCTGCCTTGAATGGTAATGTTAATGTACAGCAGTATTCCAACCTAGAGAGAACAAGTGATTTAAAAAGGATCATAATTGGCTTAGCATCTCTTGTCTTGAATGTTCTCATTATCCATCCTATCAGTTTCCTAGCAGATGTGATAGTGGCATTGTTGTGGTCCTTGAAGGTGAGGTCTTCGGACATTACCACACCCAGGTCCTTCACATTACTTTTCCTCTCTATTGTGTGAATAGAGTTTGTAGTATACTTAGTCCTAATTATTATTTCCCCCAGTTATCCATAACGGAGTAGTTGGAATTTATCTTCATTGAACATCATATTGTTCTCTGTTGCCCATTGGAAAACTTGGTTTATATCTTTTTGGAGCTTTGCCGTGTCCTCAATGGATGATACTCTGCAAAGGATGATAGTGCTATGGTTTACATCTGTCTGATATGAGAATGAGAAACAGGATAGGTGCGAGTACTGTGCCTTGTGGGACAGAGCTCTTCACTGTGGCAGCATCTGATTTAACTCTGTTTACCATTACTCTTTGTTTGCGATTGGTTAGACAGTTGAAGATCTATCTGCCTACTTTGCCAGTTATCCCTTTAGCACGCATTTTGTGTGCTATTACACCATGGTCGCACTTGTCAAAGGCTTTTGCAAAGTCTGTGTATACTACATCTGCATTCTGTTTGTTTTGAAGCGCATCTAGGACCATATCATAGTGGTCTAGCAGTTGCGAAAGGCAGGAGCGACCTGCTCTGAAACCATGTTGCCCTGGGTTGTGCAATTTTTGGGAGTCCAGGTGGTTTGCTATCCTGCTTCTTAGAACTCTTTCAAAGATTTTTATGATATGGGACATCAAAGCTATTGGTCCATAGTTCTTAGCTACTGCTTTGCTGCCACCTTTATGGAGTGGGGCTATATCTGTTGTTTTTAGTGACTGTGGAATCTCGCCTGTGTCTAGCTCCTCCATAGCATACTTAGGGCCCGTGAGAGGGGTTTCTTGCAGTTCTTAATGAACACCGAGTTCCACGAGTCTGGGCCTGGGGATGAGTACATGGGCTTGTCGTCGATGGCTTTCTCAAAGTCTAGTGGAGTTAAGGTTATGTCATAAATTTGGCATACATTGGCAGAGTTTTGAGGCTCATTCATGAAAAAATTGTTTGGATTGTGTATCCTTAGACTGGTTAGTGGCTCGCTGAACACAGAGGAGAAGAGAACGGAAACGAAGAGCGATTTTTCAAGGGATTAAACAATAATTTCACATTATAGAATTTCATTTCATACGATTAGAATTGAATTCTGATTAAATTTTGATTCACGATTATTAAAATATTATAATTAGTTTTTGAAAAATATCAAAACTGCACTACCTAAGATAACCTGTAAATACAAAGCTGTATCACCTCAATTTAAAAAGTTACACATAATAGAGACAGACTCACATTACCCAAATTTGAATTCTGAAACACAACACAAGAAAATCTAACCGACCCACCACACAAAAACCCCCGAATGACATTACAAAGAAAATCTTCAGATACATAACTGTAAATACACAAAGATTTTAAGCGTCTTACCAGAGCATTAAGATTAATGGCAGACAGACAGACATACACGCACGCGCGTGCGCACACACACACACGCTAGGAAAATGATAGGATAGATAATGAGAACCTTCAAAACTAGGGACGCCAAGCCCATGATGATTCTCTTCAAATCGCTTGTGCTCTCTAGGCTGGAATACTGCTGTACACTAACTGCCCCCTTCAAGGCTGGCGACATTGCAGACCTGGAGAGTGTACAAAGAACTTTCAAGGCACACAAGTACGATAACGCACCTAAGCTACTGGGAACCGTTGAAGATCCTTGATCTGTATTTCCTTGAACGCAGGCGAGAGATATACATAATATATACTTGGAAGGTCCTGGAGGGATTGGTACCAAACCTGAACACGAAAATCACTCCCTATGAAAAGATAAGAGTCGGCAGGAGATGCAACATTCCCCCGATGAAAAGCAGGGCGCAACGAGTACATTGATAGACATAATAAGTGTCCGGGGCTCAAGACTGTTCAGTTGTCTCCCAGCATACATAAGGGGGATTACCAATAGACCCCTGGCTGTCTTCAAGAAGGCACTGGACAGGCACCTAAAGTCAGTACCTGACCAACCGGGCTATGGTTCGTACGTCAGCTTGTGTGCGGCCAGCAGTAACAGCCTGGTTGATCAGACCCTGATCTACCATGAGGCCTGGTCTCGGACCAATCCGCGGGGGCGTTGACCCCCGAAACCCTCTCCAGGTAAACACACACACACACACACCAATAAATCGATATATTAACATGTTCAGTATCTCTAAAATTTGCAAACTCGGTCCATATCTAAAAAGTATGAAGAGAAATGATTTATAAAGTGACGACATGTATTTCTGTGGTGATCTCTCTAGTCAGGTTACGGAGGAAAGAATCTATCTAACATTTTGGACACGAATAATAATTTCGGTGATTGTCGGGGTGGGTGGAGATTCATAGTTGTAGACCCTGCACGCCATGCTGAAATTTCCGGGTTTGATCTTGTATAATATAATACCAGGAGTCTTTACATTTTCTAAAGTCTAGAATTATATAATTGGCTTTATTATATACCGTATGCACGCTCAAAAAAATATTACGTTGTCATGGGAAGGAGGGACCTTTTGATCAAAATGGCCGTGCCATTGGCCTCAAGCATCATGGTGATGTAAATTTAAAAAATCAAATGGAAGAATGTAGAAAATATTGCGATAATAGAGAAAGTTCAACTAGGTAGTTGAGAAACAGTTGAGACGGACAGCCGCATAAAAACGAACTATAAAAAGACAAATTCGCCTTCAGCCATAGACCCGACCTGACCGGAAAATGCCTTTAATTTTGTATTCCCAAAAAGTAGTTAATTTGATACGGTGTGTTGAATATTTCAAAATCGGATCACAATTTGTTTGATCAAACATGAAGGTACTAGATTGTAGCAGTCTACTAAAACTGACCCCAGATCAGTTTATCCTGGGTGTGTTTATCCTGGGTGTTTATCCTGGGTGTGTTTATCCTGGGTGTGTTTTAAACAAACGGCTGTGACCAAATTTAAGAAATATAACACAATCGGAACATTCGGTTCGTTTTTATTTAGGCTCTAGGTACATGCATTTTTTTATACATTTCTTGAGAGCGAACAGATGTTATGGGTACATATATATTGAGATTTAACCTAGGATAACCCTATAAAGTTAGACAGTTTGACGTATGTCCATAGGGGGTTGAAGTGAACAGGAATGTAAGAGGCGCAGGTGATGGGGGGGGGCGGGGGTAACCATATTGAAAGATGTTAGGTTCAAGTACACAGTGTTCCTAACAATGTTACTAACAATGTTACTAACACAACTACAAGGAAAAGTATAAGCTGGATAACAAGAAACTGGAAAAAAGAGATACTAAGCTAAAAATGATACTCATCTTTAGGGCGTCTGTACTTTCTCCACTTGATGGTTCATGTACAACAGCTCCATTTAATTACGACAAGTGAAATTGCAAATAGAAAGTAGAAAGCATAAATTATTGGAAACCACCCAATAATTGTAATTCTTTGAGGAAAATGTATAAAAATTAAAAAATTTGCATCCAAAAAAAAATGGTAGAGGGACCCGGAAATCTACGCGCCGAAATTATTCCATAGGAGAGCACAGACTGTGGTTAACTTTAAAATATCTGTAATGAAAGGCAGAGATGAAATAAGAGAACTCAATAAGCATAAGGGATTTAACTCTACCTTCAAATATTATGAAGGTGACTAATAGACTTCAAGAGGAACTATAATAAATTATTCCAAACCATTCTTGGTTAAGTAGGTTATGGCGCTTACCTTAGATTGTCTGCCCCGAGCACCAATAACCTGACTGATCAGGCTATCAATCTGGAGGCCTGGTCTGAAACCAGACCGTGGGGGCAATGGTGCTTTAAACCATTATCTGAATAAACAGGTTTGCTAATAATAATTTCTGGTAATAACTTCGTGATGAACAATAAACGTAGCGGTAAGCGCACGATGATCCCCGATGTTAAATATACCGAAGGCGATTATATGAGTTACCTAAGAAGTTCGTAAACGAAAATGCTGGATAACCTGACGCGCAAAAACAAAAAAACAAAAAAAAAAAAAAAAAAACTTGAGCTAGACAAGATCTAAAC